CATTACATGAACAAGAAAATTCATTACAATTCATGGTTTATAATTTACAAAGCGCAGCGGCGTGGTTGGGACAAGGGCTGGGCGGGCCTCTCACCAGTTCTCCAGCTGTTCCAACCCTTCATCCGAAGGGGCTCCGAGGCAGGCTTTCTGCTGTTGGACTTTCCATTCCTCCAACTTGGGCAGCAGTAGCTCCACGAGGGTCGTTAACTGGCCTAGCAATGCTTTGATGGCATCCAGCACTTCCTAAGAAAGCCATAAAGTAAGTAGTGAGCACTTCTCACCATCACCCTCCACCACCCACTGGGGAGGAAGAGACAAAGAAGCCAAGGCTAAGAGGCCAGGCCTCCCACATCCCTCATTTTCCCCATTCTCTGTTGCCCACTCCCTCTGTCTGCCTCCCACCTTTCTCCTTTTGTCCAGTTCATTGAGAGTCTCCTGCAGAAGCTGCTGCTGTCTCGTCTGATGGGGGTCTAAAGAGAGTGTCTTCACTGGATGACAGGAGCAGGAGTGAGACAAATACTCAGACCTAGGGCTCCTTCCCCTCTCCATCCTGACCAGGACCTCAGGCAGATTTGGGGGCAGAGAGCAGGGGGCATTTTCAAGGGAGAAGAAGGGGACCCAAGCAAAGCAGAGGCACCTCTGGGCCCTCGGGCAGACTCTGAATGGTCATGCCGGAACCAAAAGCCCACTCGATCTGCTGAGGCAGTTTGCCATGCGTCTCCCCTAGCTCCCACCAGCTGGCCCTCAGCCACACCTCCAGCCTAACCTCCAGAGCACCAGCTGGCCCCTGTAGCTCTGCCTGGCAGTGGGGCTGTACCCAGTGCGGTTGGTGTAGTAGCCAGAGAAGATTACTGCTTCCTGGGGCTCTTCACTTCTCCCCTCTTCCACCCCTGGCCTCCCAGCAGGCACTGGTGTTTCGACCACCCCTCAGTGTGCTTGCTTCCTACCTTGGGCCTGGATCTTATATCGGAAGCAGAAGACATCCTGCTGGTCTTTCAGGTGGCAGATGGATTTCTTCAGTGTCTGGAGATGAGATAAGACCCAGAGGAGGCTGCTTTTGTGGGAGGTGGCAGGCTGAGCCCTACTGACCCTAACTCTTCCCACATCTACCCACCTCCATCATAGCCTTTAATTCCAGGATCCGGGATTCAATCTCATGCTGCTGGCTCTCTACGGGTGCTTCAATGACTGGCTCTCCTTGCTCCTGAAATAAGAGACTCTTGAGCACATTTTAATTCTGATCTTTCATCCCTAAAATCCAGCCTGCACTTATATATATCATGGAATGTGGGGGAGGATCTTGTTCTGAGACAAACTTCTGAGTCCTTTCCACAGTCACTCTCCACTCCAGGGGCTTTCAAAATCACTACAAATTGTTCTTACCAACTGAGCCCTCTGAGCCTGGATCAGAATTCTTTTTTCTTCCAGAAGGAGATTAAAGATCATCTCAGCCAACTGGGTAGGGCCCTGGGGAAGACCCTGCAGTAGAAAGATAAACAATTGGCTGAACTCAACTGTCTTCAGTGATCTAGCCCTCCAGACCTGCCCCACCACTGACCCCAGTACGTCCCCCTCCTACAGGGTCCCTAGCCCTCTCCCTCTTCACCACTGGTACCCTAAAACCTAGCCTCTTCCCAACAGGGTCATCTAGACTCTGCCTTTCTCTCTGCCAGTGATCCCTCCCAAGTCCAGACCTTGTCCTCCCTTTGCCTGGATCTGCCCCCATCCTTTCACATCTCCAGGTCCTGTTCCATACCCTAAACCATACTCCTCTATACTCAGTTCCTTTTCTATTCAGCTTTTTGGCTCTTCCTGGCTCCTCTAAGTACCTGAATGTCCCGAGAGAATTTTCGCAAGTTGTGCTGTAGTAATAGGAGCTCAGGGTCCTGACTGCAGCGGCCACACTCGTTGTTCAATTGGTCCAAGAAGTCGAAGAACAGCACGGTAGCCTTGGAATCATCATTGCCCAGTGCAGCCTCCTGCCTGGGGATCAAAAATGACAAGGATTAGTATCACTGAAGGGTTGCTACCATCTTTCGAGGTCTTCTAACCCCATCCTGCTTTTGGCATCTCCAGGATCCTGGGCACTCGGAAGAACACTGTCTTCATCCTACCCACATCCAGCTTCTTGAGGCACTCACCAGTTCTGGTCTTCAATCCAGACAGCTAAGTACTGTCGAATGTCCACGGGCAGGAGGCTATCTGAGTACAGCTGGTGCAGCTGATCCTGAAATGGGTTGTTGAGATTCTGCAACATCTCCCACTGCGCCATTTGGGGTCTGAGTCTGAAGGATGCAGGTTCCAACTGGAAATTTTGCTAGACTAAATCAGTCACAGTCTCATGACTGCTTATCACTACAATAAAGATTTTTAATTACACAGGTAAGAAAAAAATGCTCACACACACATACAATTAAAGCTACATTGACCCCACTCCTAATCTTGGTCCCTTCCTCTCTTGTCTTCACATGTAACCAGTATTATCAGCTTGGTTCACCTTCTTCCAGAGAGTACTATTTAAGAGCTCTAGTATGGGGGCCTCTTTGTTTGTTTGTTTTTTTAAGTATTTTATTTTTACTTATTTATTTGAGAGAGAGAGACAGCGAGACAGAGCATGAGCGAGAAGGTCAGAGGGAGAAGCAGACTCCCCGTGGAACCGGGAGCCCGATGCAGGATCCCAGGCCTCCAGGATCATGACCTGAGCCGAAGGCAGCCGCCCAACCAACTGAGCCACCCAGGCGCCCCATGGTGGGGGGGCTCTTTGTTTTAATGATAATTTTCAAACACACACCAAGAAGAGTGAATAGGACAAGAACCATCCATGTATCCATCATTCAGCTTCACTAAACAATATTTACACCATCTTTATTTCATCTATCACCCTCAATGAGTTTGTTTTAGATTTATTTGCTTGTGTTTGTATTCACTTACATCGTAGATCATAAATATTTATTTCAGCATGACCCCTGCTGGCCCCAAAACTTTATCAAGGGCTGAAACCTCTTTAGAGATAGGTATAACTTATAATCTGCTCTCCATACAGGAAGGAGGAACTCCATTCCAGATATTTAAATACTGCCCAAGGGGTCACTTAATCCCTAAGACTGTGATACTTTTAAGACCTCTATTGACCTCTGATTCTTCTTGTAGATTATCAACTTTGTGAAAGACCCAGAGATTTCTTCCCTCCACCCACCCCCCATCAGGGTGGGGTCAGGCAAAGAAAGCAGAGGTGTTTGTTTTTTCACAGTGAAATTTCACTCAAAACTGGTTCTTGTGTCACCAAGAAGGCTGGGATAAGAGTATTTCTTCCTCTCTTTCCCCGCCCCTGCCATCTGTCTGTTTAGGAAATCAAAACTTACTCTTGCTGCAGCCTGAACCTAACAGAAAAGGGTATTTACATACATCTGTGGTCTAAAAAAGGTCACATGATCTTATTACAAATGAAAGAAAAATCTCTGCGGTGGGAGAGATTCTCTTCCACCAGTATGAATAATCATGAGATGCTTTTTAACGTCTTTGAAGTAGAAACACGGGGAGGAAAGGACTGGTCAGGAGTTCCTATTTTTCATCTTAAACCTTTTACTAGTGCTTAACTTTTTAAACTATGCACCTGTACTGCTTTAAAACAAACAAACAAATAAAAAACAAAAACAAAAAAATGGAGAGGCCCCACTTCTCCAGGAACGAATCTCAGCTATTATTAAAAGAGCAAGGTGGCAAGTTAACCCTGAGGTTTAAATATGAAAACAAAACAAAACAAAACAACAAAAACCCATGGTCTTCCCAAAATAGATCGCAAAGACGAGGGTTAAAGGCTGTAACACTTAAGTTTTTTTCCAGCATCTCCCACTCTCTTAGGCATATATTTTGTGCTCAAACAGCTTTTGGGGAAAGAACTGCATTTTGTATGTGACCTCAGGCAAATCGTTTCACCTCTCTGTACCTTACACTTCTTTTTATTTATTTATTTATTTGACAGATCGCAGGTAGGAGAGGCAGGCAGAGAGTGAGGAGGAAGCAGGCTCTCCGCGGAGGAGAGAGCCCGATGCGGGGCTCGATTCCGGGACCCTGGGATCGTGACCTGAGCCGAAGGCAGAGCCTTAACCCACTGAGCCACCCAGGCACCACTGTACCTTACACTTCTTAAAATAACAATGAAGGAAGTGAAATCGTATCTACCTTCAGACATCGTGTGTGTGTGTGTGTGTGTGTGTGTGTGTGTGTGTGAGAATCAAAATTAAGACAGACCGGAAGGTAAAGGCATTGGCTAAGGGTATTGGAGGCTGCCAGGGAGTTTGGGAAGATGGGTGTTAGGGCTGGAGAGCTGGGCTGGATGGGGAGATTCGGTTATGCAGCAGGAGACAGTTACCTCAACCTGGAGACGAAGTTTTACCCCTACCGGGCGTACGCCCGGGGCCTGCTGCGTTGCCCACGCAGGAACTTGCGCCTGCACCCGACCCCGCGCGCCCCCTCTGGGCCCGTACCTGATAAGGGTCCCAATCCCGTCTCTCCCTAGCGGCAAGGCTTCCGGCCACAAGAGCTCCAGCGACCCGGCCCGCGCTCCGCCCTCGGCTTCGTCCCGCCCCTCGGGTCCTCCCCCTTGTAGCTGACGCTGGAGCGGAGGGCGGAACCCGGGAGCCCGCCATTCGCTGCCTGGCAACCGTGACGCTAGCTGCCATTCAGCCAAACTTTCCTAAGTTCATTGGCGCCGCCACAACTCCTCCCCCCCCCGCGGGGCGGGACAGGAGGCACCGCAACCACACTTCCATCTCGAACGATTGGTGGGCTAGCTCAACTACGCCCCACCCCGTGCCCACGGAGGGAGGAGTCCAATTAATGGAATAGCCTGGAACTGAAACAGCTGATTTCCGAGAACTCTCGCTACTGGAACGAAACCGAGAGTTTCACGGGACCCTGCAGGCTCTGAGAGCGCCATGAGAGGTGGGACCGGAATTTCGACACTTTGGGATAGGAAGGGACGAGCTGTAGTCATATTTATTGATAGTACCTTGCTAAGAACTTGAGGTTCATTGTTTCGTTTTTAATTACCACAAACCCATACAGGTGAAAATGATAATCACAGACAATTTTTGAAAATTGAGCTTGAAGAAAAATTGTTACTGGTCAGTGATTACTGAGGTTCTTACAAGGGGAGCCTGGATTCAAATCTAAATCCTCGGACTCCAAACCCCAAACTTAAAAATTCCTGCATTTTACAGCATTGCCTTCCTCCTTGATAACAAGCTAGAGATTTGGATTTTGAACATATACACATTACAGCTTGTCAAAATATTAGATTTATTTATTCTGTGATCACCAGCTTTTATATCCCAAGACTGCCATTCCCAGGATCTAAGTCATAGCCATTAAATAAGTCCTGTACTAGTCAGGCAGCTGAACTAAGACCAAAGGGCCCTGGTGGTTGTTTCTTTCTTTTTTTTTTTTTTTCCAAAGATTTTATTTATTTATTTGACAGAGAGAGATCACAAGTAGGCAGAGAGGCGGGCAGAGAGAGAGGAGGAAGCAGGCTTCCTGCCGAGCAGAGAGCCCGATGTGGGGCTCGATCGCAGGAACCTGGGATCATGACCTGAGCTGAAGGCAGAGGCTTCAACCCACTGAGCCACCCAGGCGCCCCCCGGGTGGTTGTTTCTTCCAGGTCACTCACACCTAAGCCCCCCCCCCCCAAGACCTCCCTGCTGATTGCTGGTAGAGCCGTGTTTGCCTCTTTCACTTAGAAATACTGGGTCAACTGTTCAATCCCAACCTTCACTGCAGGTTTAAGTGCAGCGCTGATTAGTAGTCCTGTGGGTCCCCCGGACAATCCAGCCATAGTCATCAGAAGGTCATAACCCATATCTATGACCCCATCTTGGCCTCGTTCCTTGGCCTTGTCTGGACAATTCTGAGCAGCATAATACAAAGCTGTGCCGAGATTGTAGAAGGTTCCCACTTGTGGCAACAATCGGACTATATTGTACACACCTTGCTCCTGCTTCTGCTCACAGTTATTGATACGGGGGGAGCGTCGGGCCCTTGGTGGGCCTGGTCGCTCCCTAGCCAAAAGCTGTAGAGCAGAGAATAGGGCATCCCCTGAAACCATCCTCACGGTGCTTCTGCTTTTCTGGAGTTCTTGAAGATGGTGGATGAGTTTCTGTGTTGCTTTTACACCCCCCTGGCGGTACAGCTGAAGTTGCAGTGTCCAGACATCAGCCTGGCAACCAGCTTTCTCCAGGGCGATCACCAGTGGCAGGGCTACCAGGAACTTGGGTAGAGGAGGCATGTGAGTAAAGCCAGGCAGGGACTTTGGGAGCAGAGTCTGGCAGGACAAGGGGTCTGAGGAAGGTGGCCAGGATCTCAAGGATGAGGGAATATTTGTCTGGTTTCCATATGAAATAACATCCACAGGGTACAGCAGGAGGTAGCAAAGAAGCAACTCAACTTGTATTGTGATGAATCTGAGGCCAAACATGTCTGAAACAGAGTATGCTGGAGAGGGGAGAAACCAGAAACACACAAACTGTTTTCCTAAGGGCTGTGGTCTGAAAGGAGCCCATGACCCAGGGCACACCTCATCCATCATCTCCAAAGTTCTGTTATTTTTAGGCCAAGGCCCAAGAATCAAGAAACGCAGCCCAATTGTTCCCACTTGGCCTTCCCCATTTTCAAGTCACCAGAGACTTCCACTGCTTTATTTCCACCCATTTATACGGGGCGCCAAATTATCACAAAGTTCAGGCAAAAACTGAGACTGTCTTGATGGGTTTGGTTACTCCTCGATCCAGTTCTGCCCACTTCTCTGCCCCATGAATAAAGGAGATATTTGCTTTCCCCATAATCAGTAAGAGATGCAATCTCTGCAAATATTTGTCCATTTGTATTGGCTGCTTAAACCTTGTCCCCTTGTCCCACATTGACCTCAACACCTAAGACCCTGTTCTTTGGCATTTCCTACACATACCTGTCACTTTTCCACTCTAGCTCACGATAGGAGCTGGGAGACCCAGAGTCAGGAGAGATTAGATATCTATGATTCGCTCTTACTGTATTTCTTTTCAGTTTAAGAATTAAATTAGTGAGCTACACCATCTAGTTGGGGATTTAGTACAGGGTGGATGAATGAGAAAAAGGTTAAATTACCTCTCATGCATAGTATATATTACATGCACAGTATATGAAGACTGAAAGGAAAGAAAAGAGCAAAATGGAATAAGAACTAGGGGCTGGGAACTACTAAATGGAGAGGGTCAAGACTAATCCCAGTCACATGTATGATTTAGCTCTGGCATGAAATAAAGTACATCTGTTGAGTGGTTGTCTACCTTTCTTTTTTCAAAATGTTTTTGTAGGGCATCTGGGTCGCTCAGTCAGTTAAGTGTCTGCCTTCACCTCAGGTCATGATCTCAGGGTCCTGGGATCGAGCACCATGTCAGGGCTTCCTGCCCGGTGGGAAGCCTGCTTCTCCCTCTCTCTCTGCCTGCTGCTTCCTCTGCTTGGGCTCTCTCTCTATGTCAAATAAATAAAATATTTAAAATATTATTTAAAAATAAATAAATAAAAATATTTTGGGGGCACCTCAGTGGCTCAATTGTTGGGCAACTGCCTTTGGTTCAGGTCATGATCCTGGAGTTCTGGGATCAAGTCCTGCATCAGGTTCCCTGCTCTGTGGGTAGTCTGCTTCTCCCTCTGATCCTCTCCCCTCTCATGCTGTCTCTCTCTCAAGTAAATAAATAAAGTCTTTAAAAAATATTTTTAAATGTATTTGTCAGAGAGAGAGAGAGAAAGCACAAGCAGGGGGAGCAGCAGGCTGTCCGCTGAGCAGGGAGTCAGATGTGGGGCTGGATCCCAGGACTCTGGGATCATGACCTGAGCCAAAGGCAGACACTTAACTGACTGAGCCACTCAGGAGCCCCTGGTCTTCTACATTTCTAACTACCTCTTCTATCGCATCCTTGAATAGCCCCAAGAAAAGAGACTTACTGCCCGGGTGGCACCGAGTCTCCGAAGTAAACGTAGACAAATACCTGAATGAATTTCTCCATAAAGCCCTCCCAAATAACTGTGGAACGTTTGATAAATTATATTGTCATCATCTGTAGACACCGAGAGGTTCTTAACTGGAGAACCTTGGAGGTTTCTTCAGCTTTTTGCCTAATTCTTCCTCACACTCCCATCACTGCTTCCTGCAGCTCTAGGGGGTACTGACAGCAACATTTTTGAACTGTGTCACCAGTAATGTGGCAGATAGCTGGTAGACCTACCATGCTGGGGGGTGTATTTGCCACCAGCAAGACATTCCTCAGGCAAAATAGCTGAGTGTTAGGTTCTCCAAGCTTCCCTGCAGTTCCCCCCAGATTCCTCAGTGACCTGAGTGCTGTCAGTGTTTTCCTTCTCATTGTGCTCTCCTCTCATGGAGGAGAGTTTCAGTGATAGCCTTTCCTCCCATCCTAACAAGCTTAAGCTGCAGAATGTGTGAGAGTGTGTTCAGAGGATGGCCAATTTTTGTCAAAAATGGCTGGAAGATCAGGGCTCCTTTCTGGGCATTTCTTGGAAAGACAGCCAACGGGGACAGCAAAACACAGCAAAGGGGCACCTGGCTGGCCCAGTTGGTAGAGCATGAGACTGTTGATCTCAGGGTTGTAAGTTTGAGCCCTATGTTGGATGTAGAGATTAATTAAAAATAAAATCTTGAAAAAAAAAAAAGACACATCAAAGGAGCAGCACAGCCTGGATCATGGTGGGCCAGGAGGAACAGCCCACAGGAAACAGGAGAGAAGTAGCGGTCGAGGTGAGAAGTGGGGAAGGGCTTGGGACAAAGAAACACCGAGACTAGTCCGAGCTAAGAAGTGGCTTTTCCCTTGGGAACTTCAGTTACACCTGGACATAGCTTTACCCCCACCCTTGCAAGCTGTGGGCAGTTCTCACCTGCTCCAGAAGGAAACAAGCCAGAGGAACAAGACGATAAGATGATCCAAACACGTCCTTTCCTCGATGCTTCTCTAATCTGAATGCTAACCTTCTCTACACTGCAGTCAAAAACAGTTGGCCCTTCTGAAAACAGTGAAGGACATATGCTTACAAATATTTATCCACCTCTTCCTGGCTCAGGCTTTTCCCCCTCACCTTTGCCCCATCCTGACAAAGGGCCATTGCTCTTTGTGGCTACTGCTTTTCCTGCCTCATATCCCTGTCACCCTAAGGATTTCTCTAGACCTAAACCTAGATCAGGAAAAATGCCTCAGTCTCTTCTGGAGAAGCAGGGAGGCAAAAGGCAGGGATGCCCAATGATTTCTGGGCAGGAGACCCCAAAATGGATTTCAAAGGACTTACCAGGTAAAAAAATGAGAAAATAGAACCTACTGGCAAGTCAGATCAAATCAGAGCAACTTTTGTTTTTATCTCATTATCCCAGCACAATACCCTAATTAAACACATGCATTACCCTGATAGTACCTCTTTCTGATCTTGTATTAGTGTAGGAATTGATCTTCATTTCTCATTTCTAAGGGTGTAGATGAGAAACTGTAGTCTGGAAAATAGGGAACAATGGCATAAGGTGCCTCCTAAAAACTGGTACAAAAATCCCATCATTTTGCCATACTGATTCCTCGCTGGTAATATCATCTAACTCTGGCAGACAGCCAAATGCATTAGGCTAATGAACAAATCCCAGATCCCTTCTCCTATCTTACTCATTCCTCTCAGTCCCAGGAGGGGCCCTAAGTAGCAAAAAGAAATCAGGGGGCGGAAAAAGTTTTCTAGAACAAGATTAAGTCTTCAGAAAACTACTGGGACACAATCCTACAACTGGGAGAAGGATGAACTGGATCTAGAGGCATCCAACCCAGCTGCTTGAAATTCCTGGAGTCCAAATCCATGGATCGTCTCAAGGCTCTGCTGCTTCTCAACAGTTCAGGGAAGTTTGGGGATCCTGTCAGATTCTCCCCTTTCTTTTCTTTTTTAAAAGATTTTATTTATTTATTTGACAGACAGAGATCACAAGTAGGCAAAGAGGCAGGCAGAGAGAGGGGGAAGCAGGCTCCCTGATGAGCAGAGAGCCCAGTTCAGGGCTTGATCCCAGGACCCGGAGATCATGACCTGAGCTGAAGGCAGAGGCTTAACTCACTGAGCCACCCAGGCGCCTGATTCTCCCATTTCTGACTGGAGTTCGCCATCCATAACAGGGCCCATCTTCACATCCAGTTTGTCAGTCAGCATTACCATCCCTCTCAACGTGCAAGTGGCTTCTGGTTGAAATTCCTCCAATTTCCAACTCTAGTGTCCAACTCTAGTGACCCTAGAGAAAAGAATGTGTAAATACGGCAGGGGGAGGAAAAGTGGTGATGAGTTCGTCTCCAGGACCAAGGAGCAAAATGACAGGAGGAGGAGGCCAAAAGCAGATCTCCCCCCAATCCAGCTCCCTAACTTTGGTCCTATACTTGTCTTCCACCTGTTCCTCATTAATTCCCATCAGTTGTCAGCTGAATTTTTTTGGTTGTTGTTTCAATTAGTATTTTTTTTTAAAGATTTTATTTATTTGACAGAATGAGAGAGAGAGAGATCACAAGTAGGCAGAGAGGCGGGGGAGGGAGTAGGCTCCTCAATGAGCAGAGAGCCCGACGTGAGGCTCGATCCGAGGACCCCGAGATCATGACCTGAGCCGAAGGCTGAGGCTCAACCCACTGAGGCGCCCCAAGTGGAGTATTTTTGAAAGTATTTATCTATTTATTATTTTTTTAAAAGATTTTATTTGAGGAGGGGAGCACAAGCAGGGGGAGCAGCAGGCAGAGGGAGAAGTAGGCTCCCCACTGAGCAAGGAGCCTGAAGTGGGACTCGATCCCAGGATCCTGGGGTCACGACCTGAGCCAAAAGCAGACACTTAACTGACTGAGCCAGAAGTCCCAGTAGATTTTATGTATTTATTTGAGAGAGAGAGCATGATCAGGGGAGAGAGGCAGAGGCAGAGGGGATAACAGACTCCACACTCAGGAGGGAGCACAATGTGGGGCTGTGATCCCAGGACCCCGGGAACTGAGCAGAAGGCAGATGCTTAACAACTGAGCCATCCAGGTGCCCCAGGTTATTTATTTGAGAGAGATATAGCGGGAAAGAGCACAAGCAGGGAGAAGAGAGAAAAGCAGACACCCCACTGAGCAGGGAGCCCCATGTGGGGTTTGATCCCAGGATCCTGAGATCACGACTTGAGCTGAAGGCAGAAGCTTAAATTTCTGAGCCACCCAGGCGCCCCACAGCACATCTATTTATAACATGGTGTATTGAGTATTTTAAGCTCACTGTTGAGACTTACTGTTCAGAAAAAAAGATTCCTTTCAAAATATGACTGCTCATCGACAATGCACCTGGTCACCCAAGAGCTCTGATGGAGATGCCCAATGAGGTTAATATTTTCACACCTGCTAACCCAACGTACACTCTGCAGCCCATGGATCAAGGAGTCATTTGGGCTTTCAAGTCTTATTATTTGAGAAATACAGTTTGTAAGGCTCCCATAAATATTGATTCCTCTGGTGGATCTGCACCAAGTAAATTGAAAATCTTTTGGAATGCAATCACCTTGCGAGATGCCATCAAGAATATTCATGGGACGGCTAGGTGGCTCAGTAGGCTAAGCAACTGCTCTCACCTCAGGTCACAATCCCGGGGTCCTGGGATCGAGTCCTGCATCAGGCTCCCTGCTCAGTGGGGAGTCAGCTTCTCCCCCTGCTTGTGCTCTCTCACTATGTCAAATAAATAAAATCTTTAAATAAGATAAAAATAAATTTTTAAAAAAAGAACATTCGTGAGTCAGGGCACCTGAGTAGCTCAGTCAGTTGAGCATCCGACTCGATTTTGACTCAGGTGATGATCTCAGGGTCGTGACACTCCAGCCGCACGTGGAGCCCTGCGTCAGGCTCCAGGCTCCACATGGAATCTTTTTTCTCCCTCTGCTATTCCCCCAGCTTGTACTCTCTCTCCCTCAAATAAGTATAAATCTTAAAAAAAAAAAAAAAATCATGATTCATGGGAAGAAGCCAAAATATCAACATGAACAGGATTTTGGGAGAAGCTGGTTCCAACTCTCAAGGACGACTTTGAGGGGTTCAAGACTTTAGTGGAGGAAGTTACTGCAAATGTGATAGAGATAGCAAGAGAACTAGAATTAGAAGTGGTGCCTGAAGATGGGATTCAGTGGCTGCAACACCATGATAAAACTTTCTCAGATGAGCAGGTGCTTCTTACAGATGAACAAAGAAAGTGATTTCTTGAAATGGAATCTCCTTCTGGTGAAGATGCTGTGAAGATTGTTGAAATGACAGCAAAGAATTTAGAAGGCTACACAAACTTAGTTGATAAAGCAGCGGCAGGGTTTGGGAGGATGGACTCCAGTGTGGAAGAAGTTCTACTGTGGGTAAAATGCTACTGAGCAGCATCACATGCTACAGAGAAATCATTCACAAAAGGAAAGAGTCAATCAGTGCACTAAACTTCACTGTTGTCTTATTTTAAGAAATTGCCACAATGGCAGTGTCTGGGTGGCTTAGTGAGTTGGGCGTCTGAGTCTTGGTTTTGGCTCAGGTCAGGATCCTGGGGTCCTGGGATGGAGCCCAGAGTCAGGCTCCTTGCTCAGTGGGGAGTCTGCTTCTCCCTCTGCCACTCCCCTGCTTATGCTCTCTCTAATAAATAAAATCTTTAAAAACAATATTTAAGGGGGCTTGGGGGGTAGGAAAAGAATAAATGAAACAAGATGGGATTGGGAGGGAGACAAACCATAAGAGACTCTTAATGTCACAAAACAAACTGAGGGGGTCAGGGGGAGGGGGGTAGGGAGAGGGTGGTGGGGTTATGGACATTGGGGAGGGTATGTGCTATGGTGAGTGCTGTGAAGTGTGTAAACCTGGCGATTCACAGACCTGTACTCCTGGGGCTAATAATACATTATATGTTTATAAAAAAATTTAAAAAAACCCCAAAAAACAAAATTTAAAACTACAGAGTAAATAAATGGAAAAGGACAGCAATACCTCTATACCCAATCATAGTAAATGGTCTATACTTAATAAGAGAAACTGGTAGAAGAAATTGGGACTGGAAGTTTCAAAGATGGCTGGCAGGTCAGGGCCCCTTTCACGGCATTTCTTGGAAGGACAGCCAATGGGGACAGCAAGGCACAGCAGAGGAGCAGGAACAGCTCTGCTGAAAAGAAGCAATGCTCCGGTTGGGAAGTGGGGAAAGGCTTGGCATAAAGATATACCAAGACCGGTCCTAGCTGGGAAGCGTCTTAACCCTTGGAAACTTCAATTACCGTGGAGGTAGCTTCACCCCTACCTTTAGAGGCTGTGGGAGGGAAAACGAAAAAACAAAAAAACCCCAGCAAGTTGAAAGAACAAGGCACTACAAACGCATCCTTTACCTAGGGCTCTCCCTGATCTGAATGGTTATTTCCTGAATCTCTCCTTCAGAAACACAGAGACAGAAAGCTGACGGTTTCCAAGAACTGGGAAGGACATGACATTTGCAATATTTATCCATCTCTTTCTTGCCCAGACATTATCCTTTACTCTGGCCCAAGCTGGCAGACTGGCTCTTGCTCCTTTTTGTGGCTCCTGTTTCTTCCTGCTAGATACACTTGTCACACTGAAGATGTACCCTAGACAAAGGATCTGTAGGTGAGAATGTTTTCCTGTCTTCTGTAGGGAAGGCAGGAGAGAAGGGATGGGTGATGGTTTCTTTTAACCCAAAGAGTTAAAAGTTCTTCTTCCAAGAACATAGGTGGAAGGCTGGGGTACTTAGACAGATTGGCACATTAGATCAATGCTGGTGACTTTTAATTTAATTAAACACGTTTAATTTAATACCAAACACATTCGTCATCTAGAGAGTACTGCATCCTAACCCTACCTCAACTGCTGGAATTAGGTTCAATCTGGTGACTAGGGGGTGATCACAGGAAAGAAATGAGGATGGGAGCATCTGGTGCCTTTTAAAACTGGTGCAACCCCCTGTCCCCCATCATGTCACAAAGCTCCCCATCTGGTGTTATGACCCACCTCTAGCAGAAAGCCAAAAGTGTTCCAAGGTGCCTTCTATATGTTACTCACTTCTCCCATTTGCTAAGGGGCGCTGCTAACCCAAAGAAATGGACTCTAAAAGAAGAGGAGTAAGTCTCTGGAGAGCTACTGAGTCAGACTGTTAAAACTGGGAGAAGCAAGGAGTGACTGCAGAGTTGTCCAGTGCTGTTGCCTAAACTTCCTGAACCCCAGATCTGCTTCTGTCTGGTAAGAGAAGTTTCTGGGTCCTGTGTGACTCTCTGAACTCTGACTTAAAAATGGTCTGCCCTTCCCTGAAGCTTCTGGCTCTTCAGTCGCTCTCATCTTCATC